AAAATGGAAAGGAAAATCAGCATACAGCCACTTTGAGGGAATTTTTCAGGCTTTGGACATGTGAATTAGAATTTAGTTTTCAAAAATATTTTATTTATTATTTTTATTTTATGTGTATGAGTGTATTGCTTGCGTGTAAGTGCACCCATGTTGTACAATGCTGACAGAGGTCAGAAGAGGACCTCTGATCCCCTAGAACTGGAGTTACAGACAGTTGTGAGCTTCCATGTGGGTGCTGGGACCCAAACCTGGGTTCTCTGCAAGAGCAGCCAGTGCTCTTGACCACTGAGCAATCTCTCTAGTCCCTAGTATCTGCTTTTGATGTCTAATGAGACTTGGTTTATATATCAGGAAACTTTTCTTCCTTAAACATCTCCATAAGTTTAGAGATATTGGAATATGGCGGAAAGACATATCATCAAACTTACTTCTTACAGTGCAGAGTAATGTAGACTACTACGAGACACTTTCTCTAACACTGTAAGCTTCTTTGTGTGTGTCTGTATGATGTATGTGCACGTTCATGTGTGTACCACAGCACACCTGTAGAGGTCAGAGGACAATGTCAGGTGTCAGTCCTCGCCTTCTACCTTGTTTGAGACAGGGCTTCTTTTGTTGTTACCGTAAACTTCTTGACATGAGACTAATAAGCTCACAGAACTTGCATCATCAACTCCTTGGCACACCGTAGGCTCTCAGCACAGCCTGAGATTGCTCAGAAAATCAAGCTTCTCAATCATGTGGCTGCATTCATAAGCAAAGAATCTAACACAACTGAACTGCTACAATTAGGACGATCGCTATCTACTATGTAAACAGTCTGTTCTGAGCTAACGACTGTGTTAGCTCTTTTGCTCATATTATTGATCTAACCCTATAAATAGGCATCTTAATTTTCATTTCACACCTGAGAAGATTTAATGTAAAAATGCTAACAAATATTCAAGAGTCAAAATGACCTCAAGTGTCATGATTTGAATTTGAACACCTTAGGTTTAGATTCGAATCCCATGTAGTTTCTGAAACTCAGCCACGTGGCCTTTGGCAACTGTCACAAAGGAAGCCCACAGTTTGGCAACTGGTTGAGAGCTTGCTGAAAATAAAGTCATACCGAATTAGCTACACTGATGACTCGTTCCCAGGGCAAAACAGTATTAGTGATCAATGTGAGGACAGAAGCAAAACGCTATCAAAGTGTTGCTCTCTTTCCTGTTTTGTGGGTAAAGGGCTAAATCCATGCTTATTTATCTTCATGAACATTTAACTGTCAAACAGGCCTGCGGTCCCCAACTTCCTTTCTTTTCTTGCTTTGAAAAGTATGTTTAGTGTCGGGTCATGACTAGGCAAACAGGAGATCTACAACAGAACCTACCTCTAGTCTGAACGCATACAGGTAATGATTAATGATCCCGTTAGATAAGCGAGTCTTATGATCCACTGATAGGACAAGGGGTGTGGGTACACCAGTGGCACCTCTTCTAAGCTTACTCTTAACTTAAATAATACTTTGGTACAGTTTGTTAGTAGGGCCTCCAAGCAACCATATCAACTGGTAAGTGGTACACATGTATATGATTTTCTGTGCTCAGGGTCAGAAAGTAAGAGAGAGAGGGAATAAAACAAAAACACTGAGTAACTACGTGTCACAGAGGGCAAAGAATAACTGTATAAATCAGATCATCTTAACTGAAACTTTACTCTTACTAAAGGCAGCTGATGGAAAAGAAATTGGGGGCCAAAGGCCATGAGCAACTAACGGGAAGAAATGAGACCTATATTTTCCAGGAAAGTACTGTGGCGTTATTAGTTGGTTGATCGTTTCCTGGACAAAGATCTTAAAATCAGGGTGGGGATACTATGCTGACTGAGAAGACCTCACAGACAAATGGGTATTTAGACACATGGAAGGTGTCAAAGGAATACATTTCTGCTTAAGCTCACACATGAGTAAATAAACAGGAAAGTGTGATGAGGAAGGAATGAAACTTTAACTTGAACATGGTCATCATGGAGGCTTTCCAAAAGAAGAGGGAAGAATGTGTTGTTCCGGGGTGCTTGAACAACCTCTCTGTAAGGAGGAGGTTTCTCCCAGGTTACACCAACCTGAACAGATCCACTAGGATAACAACCGTGTCTTCAGCCACTTCCAGGCCAGTGTTCACATCCTGGAAGCTTTCTGGTGTGCCACACATAATGATCACTGCAAGACAAGGAGAGAGATAGCTGAAGGTCTACACATAAACGGGTAACCAGTTTCCTGAATTTGAACTCAATACGTTCATGCTGTTTCCTCTGTTTTACTTTCTTTTTGAGACAGGGTTTCACTATGTACCCGAGACTAGCTATGAACTCACTCTATAGTCCAGACTGGCCTCCAATTTATAGAGATCCTCTTCTTTCAACATCCCAAGTGCTAAGACTACAGGCATGAGTCACTACACCTATCTCTCATGTTACCTTTCTAATATTGACCCCAGTTCCCAATCTCTCTGTCCTATTTTGCATTTATAGTTATAGTCAGAATAGAACTGTATGGAGTCTTTAAAATCCTCTAGTCCATTTCCTTTTATAATTTTATTTATTTATTTTTATTTTTATGTATATTTTATCTGCATGTATGTAAGTGCACCTATGTCATGCAATGCCCACAGAGACCAGAAGAGGACGTTGGATCTCCTAGAACTGGAGTTTGAGGTGGTTGCTAGGCACTGTGTGGGTGTCGGGACGGTTCCCAACCTGGTCTTCTGCAAGAGTAGCAAGTGCTCTTAATTGCTGAGCCATCTCTCCAATTTCCATTTCTTTTTTAAAAATGTTTATTTTTATTTTTTATTTATTTTATCTGTTTGAATATATTGCTTGCATGTGTTAGTGCACTGCAGTGGACAGAAGAGGGCATCAAATCCCCTGGAATGATTATTAGCAGCTAGCTATGTGGGTGCTGAGGATCAAACCTGGGTCCTCTGCAAGAGCAGTCAGTGCTCTTAACCACTGAGCTATCTCTCCAACCTTCATTTCCTTTTAAAAATGTTTATTATTTTTGAATTGTGTGTGTGTGTGTGTGTGTGTGTGTGTGTGTGTGTGCAGGTGCCCTGGTTGTGGGCTACCAGACATGAGTACTGGAAAATAAACTCAGATCCTCTGCAAGAGCAGAATATACTGAGTATTGCTGAGCCATCTCTCCAGCCCCTAGTCCATTTCCTTAATACAGATTGAAGGACTTCAAAGCTGATGCCAAAGAGGTCCAGGGATAATAGGTGATAGAGGCAGTTCTTGAATAGGTCCCGAGTTTATGAATCCTGTTTCAATGCATGTTCTATTCCACTGGGTTGGAGTGATTTCAAATGCTGTCTTCACCATCCACACTACACCATTTGTATAACTGTTTGAAAAATGAATAGTAAATGGGAATGTGAGAGTAGTTCATAATTTAATCTTCCTAAGCAACTGTCCTTGGTCTCTGTCTGGAATTTCTCAACTCAGAACTCAGAAATTCGAGGCACTGTGGAAACAGCTAAGAGGTAGGAGCACTTGGCTAGTAGGTATATGGGCCTAGGTTCAGTCCCTGGTAGGGAAAAATAAAATCCCGCAACCACCAAGTTGAGGATGCATTAGAAATTTGAGTGACAGAATTTATTCTGAAGCTCTAGTAGTGATTGTAGCTAGCTACTGCTTGAACATGTGACTCATGTGTAGGGGGGTTGGGGGACCGCTTGTTAGATCTCTTTCTATGCTGGGCTGTCCAGTGGAATTGTAATTTCTTTAGGTCATGAATGATTTTATATTTCTTTCCCCCCAGATATTGGCTAAACTGGTAAGTTCTTAGAACAGCAAAGGCTTGCTCATGTCAATGGATGCTTATTTGAATGACATCAGGTAATCTACCAAGCGAAGATCTTTGTTCCTGATCTGTTCCTGTCTGTGGAGAGAATTCTCTGGAAAGTATAGTAGATCACTTGATAACTGAGTAAGAATGGTTTTTCCCCATTAGCCTTTTACACTTGTTCTTCAGCCCATTGGACAAGAGAAACTCAGAAGAATTAAGAAGTGAGATCTTTGCTTGTTTATGATTTTGTCCGAGGGGCCATTTATCAACAGTTTATCCTCTTGGTCACCAGGGGATTGGGCTTAAGAATGTGTGAGAATTCTTAGCTAATCCAATAGTACGTTGGATTGAAGCGACTTTAAACAGCAGGTCAGCCAAGGTCGTTGCTCTCAGGTGATTTATAAAGGCTGGATGGTGGCCTGATCATCTCTTCACATTATGTTGATGCATACTTTATACTGCTTTGGCATTTTTCTCTCAGAGAATTAGATTCTATCATCACAAAGAACAATAATAATGAAACTGTACACAGGTACCGATGTCTCAAAATTCACAAACGATACGTAGTGAATGACTCAACAATGACAGCTGGACAAAGGTAGACAGCAGAATGACTGAAGGAGGCAGCCATCTTGAGGAAGGCTTCTAGCTTTCTTACCATTGCTTTTCCTGTTACGGCCGATTAAGATTTCCTGGAACTGTTCATTACGTCTCAAGACCTCCTTGAAGTTGAGCACCTCAGAAAAATATGAAACTCCAGCTTCCAGAGCATTGAGGTACCTAGAATAGGAAGAAGAGAAGCTGTGAAACCAGATTCGTTTCCTCACGGCCCTCCCATGCCTTTCTCTTGTTATTTGAGGATCTGTCCTGGGACTTCATCTGACACCCATTTCCACTATTAACACAACAGACAAAACACATGATACCCTTGATTTGGATTATGGACATCTAATTTAGTCAAAGTATGGGGGAAGTTTTAGGGAACCCTCAGTGTATATATGCAGATCACAGATTTTGAGGGGTTCCTTATACTGGCTACTGTGGGAGGAAGGGCCAAAGTACAAAAATTCAGAGTTGGTAGGAATAATTTCTGCTCCTGTAAGAATTGGGCTTTTGTGTATTCTAGGTTCACCCCAAGGTTTTCTAGGGTGAGGTCTTGGAGTTGATTCCTGTAGGTCCCAAGACACGCATACCTAGTGACATGAGTCTTTCCAGTCCTCTGTGGAGAGAGATGTCAGAACTAAACAGACCCTGTGAAGGGACAGACCACGCCCCAGCCAAAATGCTACCTCCACCACTTTTACTAGATTTGTATGAGCCTTGTCATTTTAAAAATTATATTTTTGTTGTTCTGTGTCATGTGTATGCGTGCACATGTGCATGCCATGGTGGATATATGGAGGTCAGAGGAAAATAACTTGCAGAAGTCAGTTCTCTCCTACCACATGGGTCATCAGGTTTGCCAACATGAGCCTTTACCCACTAAGCCACCTTGCTGGCCCAGTCTTACGGTTTTTAACAATTGGCCCCACTATTCCTATTCTGTCTCCTTTTCTCTAGGTAAATGTGAGAGAAGTTATTCCTAACTACTTATAGGCAGAATTCTCTGCCATTATAACTTACACAATACCAAAAAAAAACTAATGTGGAAGCATTAACTTCTGGTTTTCATTTTTATTATCTGTAAACAAGAATCACATATATTTGTCTTTAAAGGATTTACTGTGAGGAATCATTAACACTAATGATAATGTGCTTTCAAACCTAGGCAGTGTGCTGCAAACGCCATCTGGGCTGATTATTCTCATGACACTATTCATGTCACCCCTTTGATGAGCGACAATGGAATGTGGCCTGGTGTCCATCCCAACATGGCCACAGACGGAAGGTGTGATAACAACCATGTGCTCTACCATGACGCCGCAGCATCTTTGATGGCTAGAACCAGTACCAGTGACCAGCTTTCCTTACCAGAAACAGTCCTCGGGCTCTGAACCATTCTTGTAAACATACGAAGAGTTCCAGGAAAACGTTTTGAAAGGTGCATCATTGACTTTCCAAAAATCAACTAAGAAGTACATCAGCTTTCTAGCTGGAGACATCAGCCTGGTTAAGGTTTCTTTATAGTCACATGACAATCCAAAGCTTCCAGCTGAAATCATGGGATAGTTCAACTCTGTGTCAAGGCTGGGCCAAAGGGGAGAAAGGGACCAAATGCCAGGGTTAACTTAAAGAACACAAAGAACTCTTCTCCCGCCTTTTTAGCATATGTGTATAAATGGTAACAATAGCATGGGGTCAGTAAAGCAGGCACATAGGTAACCCTCCCCACAGATGAATTAAAAAACAACATGTCTTGGCCAAATTCTATGCTGAGCGTATACTCCAGGTTGAGTGAATATGTGACTTGATCACTTTATTTCTAAGTACTTCTGCTTTCTGGTTGGGGACTTATGAGTTCTGGGGAATAGAAATAAAAACTAGAGGCTGGATAACCCCAGCCATCATAATTGTAAATCCAGAAACACGCTCTCTGCACTTTTTCCTCCATACAGTACTTAGTACCTCTACCTGTGAGAGGGGCATCAGCTGGGGATTTTAGAGTCTCTCTCCCCTTGCCTAGCACAGAGACCTTGTTGTAGTTCTTTAAACATATCAACCTTCCTTTTGAATCAAGGGCTCAACTAGAACAGATGCCCAGGATGACGCTGTCCTGCCTGGTTGGCTTCTCCTAGTCCCTCAGGTCTTTGACTGAATATGTTTTATCAAGGAAACTGTCCCTGATACCTAGAGCCAGGCAATTATTGGATCAGTAACTGCTGAATATCAGTTTCCTTCACTAGATGGCACATTCCTTAAAGGCAGGTACCATGTGTGGCTTGTTCACCTCAGTCTGCCCGACACATACAGGAGCTCAGTAAGTTGCAGTGCAGGAAGGAAAGGAGGCTTCCTTCTCCTCTGTCGGAAGGGTTTCTGCACAGCCCACTTACATCTCAAACTCATCTTGTTCTCAGTCAAGTTCATTCTTTCTTTTTGTCCCTTAGCCTGATTTTTCATTTCTTTTAGTGTTTTGATATCTCAAAGTCTCCACTTCCCAACCCTCATCCCAATATCCAATGTTATCAAACAGTACTATTATACCTTAAAGATTTATTTTAGTGGTTATTTATGTGTATGTGGGAGGGATATATGTGCCTGTGAGTTCAGGTGTGCACAGAATTCAGAGGAGGGCATTGGGGCCTCTGGAGCTGGAGTTACAGGCAGTTGTAAGCCACCCAACGTGGGTGCTGGGAACTTGGATCCTCTGCAAGAGCAGTATGCACTTTTAATCTCTGAGCCATCTCTCCAGCCCCTTAAATATTATTAATTGTACCTTCGGCTTTAGTCTGCTGTTTCCTACTGTTCAGGCCCTTCTTGTCCACTGCAGACTTCCCTGTCATCAGTCTCCACTGTGTTTAACCTACACACAATTGTCAGTTATTCTTTCCAAACCCAGCTTTATCCAGCTCTCCCATGTTCAAAACCTTCGTGATATTTACTGTAAACCCCATTACGTACAACTTCATCACCTAAGATTCTCGCACGTTAGCTCCCAAATATAGTCCTATATAATTTTTCTAGTCTTTATCATCCTTCTATACATTTCCAATACTACAGGTAAAATAAACACTTGTAAATGTCCTTCACTGCTCTGATTCTTTGTTTTACACACACTTCCTCTACCTGACTGGAAAGTTTACTGCCTTGTTTCTAACCATTGAAATCTTATCCATTCTTCAACACAATTTCCTTCATGAAATATTCCCCCACTTGCAGCTTAACCCCTCAAGCTGAGGTGACCACTGCATCACTGCAAGTGGTCTACACCACTTGCACCCTCTCCTTTGCTCTCTTTGATGGAGTATATCTCAGCCTGCCCTTTACCAGTCACAGTGTCCCTGCTGTCTTCTCCATTTGCACGAGGAGGAGTGTATTTTACTTTATTTTCTTTCTGCTTGTGTGATGGTTTGAATGGGAATGTCCCACATAGGCTCTAGGTATCTGAACACTTAGTCCCCAGTTTTAGGGGGTGGGTCATGGACTCTTTAGGAGGTTGGAGGAAGCACAGTCTTTGGGGATGTAGGAGGGTTAACCGTTCTTAAGCCTGGACTAGAGAGATGGTGCAGCAGTTAAGAGCACTGACTGCTCTGGCAAAGGACATGGGTTCGATTCCCAGTACTCACATGGCAGCTAACAACCATCTATAACTCCTGTTCCTGGGGATCTGACACCCTCTTCTGACCTCCATGGCATTGCACAACATGGGTGCACCAACCTACATGCAGGCAATACACTCATACCAATAAAATAAAAATAATAAATAAAAATTTTAAAAAAGAGTTCTTAAGCCTTGCCAGATTTCCTGTCTCTCTCTGCTTCCTGTGCTGCTTGGAGATGTGAGTGCTCCGCTTTCTGCCTTCTGCTGTCATGCCTCCCCCACCCCCATGCCATTATGGACACTAATCCCCCTAGAATCCTAAGCCAAATAAACGCTCCTTTGCATAAGTTGCCATGGTCATGGTATCTTATCACAGCAACAGAAAAGAAACTAATAAATCTTGACAAAACTAAAATGTTTACACACAGAAAGTCTTCATAAGTGATGAATTGATTTCTCCAATTCTCCTTTTCCTTCTAAACATATTCTACAGCAATCTTGTAAGTGATGCGTGAGATAAGGAAGAACAAGATTCCGTATCTGGGTGTGTTTTGGTGTGAGAGATTGGCTTGTGCCTAATGGGTCGTTCGGCCTGAGCACCTGGGTTGGCTGTGCTGATAGGTGTGAGGTGGTACAAGCCACCTTTGCAATAGAGATTTCAGAGGTGAATGTTACCCTCTCCAAAACCTAGTCTTTGAATGTGGTTTCCCTCTGTATGGGCAAAGGGTGTTCTTTCATTTGGGAGAGGATTGAGCAAGGGAAAGAAAGGCCTGTGGGAGGGATTTTGACTGGGGAAGGTTTGATCTGGCAGAACAAAGCCTTTCATATTGAAGCTAGTTACACCAAAATGAATGGAAGGGGTGGTAGCAGTATTTCCAAAGCCAGGGAAATGTTTTCATTCTAGAATATGCTGAAGGCTTTTCTCTGAGATGATAAGGATATCTTACAAAGAACTCCCCTGTATTTATACCAGTCTTAGATAAGCATATGAAATAAGTTCCTTGTTATAGCAGAGCCCTACTAAGACCCTGGGGTGCAACAGAGCTTGGCTTCCCACTCCCAGGCTGATGCCTCTCACACTCAGATGTTAGTAACTCAATCTGAGCAGCCACTATAGTCACCCCACACTCCCAAAGGTAGGGGAAGGGAATGGCCACAACAGAGAGATGGCAAAATGCTAGGGTTCCAGCATGCCTTGTTATCCTACCTTGACAGTACTATTGTCAGAGCGTTTAAATTTTGATGATGTGTCTCGACTCCAGTTTCACCATGATATTGAAACAACAGGCGAACAACTACTTACTACATCTGGAAGGTGGAGAATGTACACGAGGGCCCCATGAGAGCACAGCCCATCTTACCGTCCCTCTGTAGGAGAAAAAGAAAAACGCTGAGGCCTAAAACAAAGCAACAAGCAATGGGCAGGAAAGAGGTGGGCTGGGTTACACTGTAAGAAATGGGCCTCCCAAGAGTCTGTATACTGAGCAGAAAGAAGCTACTCCCAGGACAGGAACAGAAGAGGGAGATTGTTGCTTAGTTCCTCCTCCCAATCGCTAACTCCAACCCTAAGCAGGTTTTAAGGGTAGTGGAAGCTCCTGAGGTTTGCAAGACTCTCCTTGCCACAGAAATCTAAGAAAGGGGCTTTCGAAGAGAATAAAGAGTGAGACCATAGTCCGATGATATCAGTATTGACCCAATGGGTCATATGGGTCAGGACGAATGGCTGGGTACCACAGTGAGTCTCAATCTTGGGAGACTGGGCCAATTCTAACAGGGCTAATGAAGTCTGAGGAAGAAGAGATGGTATGGGTGGAGGGTAAAGACATTCCACAGTGGTAACTTGAATTCCTCATCAAGGGGAGGAGAAGAGATGGAAGATGGACTGGCAGGTTATAGTTTCAGCAGTACCTAAAGGACAGAGTGTGGAAGATGAGACTTTGGGGTGAACGAAGGCGGCAAGCTGCAGTTTTAGGGAGAGCTATAAAGAAAAACTGAATTAACACGATGTGGTGCTTTCTATTATTTCTGTAGAGGAACCTGGTTAAGAATAGCTCACCCCTGGTTTGGAAAGCCAAGTTCTAGCTCTTTCTGAAGAGGAGAGAGAAGCACACAACACTGGAATTCTGAAGGAATGTTGGTTAAACTCAGTCCCAAGACCGGGAACCACTATGGTATCCCAGCCACTCATCTTGACATGAATCTGACACATCCATCTGGTCAATGTGGGGTCGAGTGTGGCTCTACTCCCTGCATTCTGTTCTGTTTCTTGGAAGCCCTTTCCTTAGGTTTTGGTAATAACTTGTATCTTGAACATCTATTTGGCTTTAGAGAACTTGTAATACTCTTGACACAATTAAAGTCCTATTTAGATTGAGATTAGCGACTGGGAAGAGCTAGGCAAAAATCGTCTTCCTCTTTCCATCCCACCCACCCTTTGATATCACACACACACACACACACACACACACACACACACACACACACTGTTTTTGTTTCGTCTTACTTTGTGCTTTTTAAATTTAAGTTTTCATACAACTATACACTGTATGTTAAGCATATCCTCCGCACCTCCTACCCTCTGCACCTCCTACCCTCTGCACCTCCTACCCTCCCCACCTCCTACCCTCCCCACCTCCTATCCTCCCTGTCCTCACCTGTTCCCCTCGCTAGTCTCCTTCATCTCCCTAGACATCTTCACTTCTACTTTCAGGCCATGTATATATATATATGAATTTATGTATCTATATAAAATCTAGGGACCACAAATGAGAGAAAACACATGATATTTATCTTCTGGAAACTGACTTAATTCATTTAATGTGATCATCTTCAGTCACATTCATTTTCCTGTAAGTAACATGACTTCATTGTTCCTTATGAATGGAAAATTCCATTTTATATATATATATCATATATATCACATTTTACTTATCCATTCCTCTATAGTTTAGCTATTATGGCTAGTATTACAATAAACATTATGCACATGTATCCTTGTGATACATTGACTTGGAGTCCTTTGAGTAAATATCCAGGAGTGACATGGCTAGGTCATATTGAAGACATTGTTTTACTGAGAAATTGTCATAGTGACTTCCCTACTGGCTAGGCTCCTTTACATTTCCACCATCAGTGTATAAGGATCTCATTTCCGCCATCAGTGTATAAGGATCTCCTTTTGTCCACAGCCTGGCCAGCATTTATTGTTGTTTACTTTCCTTTTTTAAAGACAAAGCTTTTTTCTTTAAAGTCTTTTTTTTTTCTTTTTTTCTTTTTTCGTATGTGAGTGTTTTGCCTGCATGTATGTAAGTGTACCCATGTTGTGCAATACCCGTGGAGTCCGGAAGAGGTGCTCAGACCCCTTGGAACTGGAACTGGAGTTACACAGTTTTGTTTGCTGTCATGTAGGTGCTAAGAACTGAACCCAGATCCTCTGCAAGAGCAGCCAGTGCTCTTAATGCCTGAATCATCTCTCCAGCCCGTTATCTATTTCCTTTTTTATTGGATTTTTGTGAATTTCAAACAATATATTTAGATCCCCTCCCACATCTGTACCCGCCCTTACTAACCACCCACCAAATTTCCTGTACTCCTGTTGAGTCAGGTTTGTGTTCCCAAACGATCTTTGGTGTGGGTTCATTACTGGAGCCTGGCCAACCTACCTGAGTCTCGCCCTTAAACCAGACTGAATCTCTCCTACCCAGATGCCATCAGTCGCCAATAATTCCTCAGGTAGGGTTGGGGTTTCTCGCCTACTTTCCCACATCTATACTGGGATTTTGTCTGGTTTGAGCTTGCGTTGGTCTTGTGCATGCTGTCACCACTGCTCTCAATTCATGTGAGTCACTGACCAGCTGTCTGGAAAACTCTGTTTCCTTGTGGTCATCCACTTCTGGCTCTTAACAATCTTTCCACCCCCTCTTCCACATTGATCCCTGAGCCTTGGGAGGCAGAAGTCTGATACAGGGATCCTACTCAGGGTTAAGCACCCTGCAGCCTCTTAGTCTCTTCACATTGACCATCACCATCTGCTGTGTAAGGAAGCTTCTCCGCTGAGAGCTGAGGGGTGCATTAATCAAGACAGGTCTGGGAAAGCTCCCAACAGCAGCCAAGGGTCCTGGCAGAGCTGAGATGGCAGGTGTAGGGAGGTATGGGAAAGGCTATTTATTTTCTTAATGACTGCCATTCTGACTAGGGAAAGATGGACTCTAGATACCATTTGGCTTTACATTTTTCTGATAGCTAGTGTCGTCAGACATTATTTCATGTTTATTGAGCATTTATATTTAATCTTTTGAGCACTGTCTGTCCATTAGCCCATTTTTTGATAGAGTTCTTTGGGTTTTTCAGTATTTAGTTTTTTAGTTATTTGTATATTGTAGTTACTAAATTCGTTGTCAGATATATAGCTGGTGAAGATTTTCTTTCATTCTGTAATCTGTCTCTGCACTCAATTAACTATTTCTTTCATTGTACAGAAGTTTTTAATTTCATGACTTCCTGTTTCTTTATTGTTGGCCTTAATTCCTGAGCAACTAGAGTCCTATTCAGCAAGTCCTCACCTGTGCCTACGTTTTGAAGTGTTTTCTCTACTTCTTCTAACAGTCTCAGAGTTGCAAGTTTTACATATAGGTCTTTGATCTATTTAGAGTTGATTTTTGTGCTGGATGAAAGACGGGTCGAGTTTCATTTATCTACACATGGATATCGAATTTTCCAGCACCCTTTGGTGAAAAGGCTGCCACCTGTCTTTCCTCCAATGTATAGTTTTGGCATCTTTGTCCAAAATCAGGTGACTGTAGCTGCTTGGGTTTTATATCTGGAACTTCTATTCCATTCCATCCATCAATCCACATGTCTGTTTTTATGCCAGTACCATGCTGGTTTTGTTACTATGGCTCTGTATCTCTGTAGTGGAACTAGAAATCAGGCATGGTGATAGCTTCATAGCTTTGGATTGCTTTGGCTATCTGGGGCATAAATACACACACACACACTATATATATATATATGTATATACTTATGAGAAAACTTTTTTCTACTTCTGAAAGAGTAGCATTGTAACTTTGATGGGGCTTTCAATGAATCTGTAGATTGCTTTTGGTAAAAGCCATTTAAATTAATTTTTCCAATCCACGAGCAATTGAGGTCTTTCCATTTTCTGGTGTTTTTTTTACAACGTTTTCTTCAGTACTTTAAATTTAATGTTGTAGAGGATTTCCACCTACTTATTTGGGTTTATTCCAAAGTATATTGTTTTAGACAATTGTGAATGGGGCTACTTTCCTGATTTCTTACTCAGCATGTCTATTACTAGTATTTAAGAAGACTGCCAACTCAATAGGCCTTAACACAAATGACAGAATACATGAAATTCAGTGGATGGGGGCTATGAAGGGTGCCAGTGGGGAAGGGGGGTGTAAAGATGATTAAGATGTTCTTTATGAAATACACAAAAATTCAATAAAAATTTACCAAAAAAAAGACTGCTTGTTTTTGAATGTTGCTTTTATATCCTGCTACTTTGCTGAAGGGGTTCAGCAAGTCTAAGAGTTTTCTGCTGGAGACTTTAGGCTCTCTTAGGTACAGACTCCTACCATCTACAAGTGAGGATACTTAGACTTCTTCCTTTCCTGTGTCTCTCACTTCTGTTTCCTTCTCTTGTCTTATTTATATAGCTAAGGCTTCAAACACTTCTCCATGTAATAGACAGTGGACACCTTTGTCTTATTCCTGATCTTTCTGGAAATGCTTTGAGTTTTTCTCCATTTGGCATCATGTCAGTGATAGGTTCATCATCGATATCTTTGATTATGTTGAACTGTGCTCCCTCCATTCCTAGTCTCTTAGGACTTTCATCCTGAAGGAATGTTGGATTTTGTCAAAGGCATTTTCTGCATCTATTGAGATGATCATGTGATTTCTCTGCTTGAGTTCATTTACGTGATGCACTGCACTTATTGATTTGTATATGTTAACCTGTCCTTGTAGCTCTGTAATGAAGCCAACTTGATCACGGTGAATGATCTTTCTGATGGATTCTTTGTGTGTGTGTGTGTGTGTGTGTGTGTGTGTGTGTGTGCATATGTGTGTGCAGGTGCTTGTGGAGGCCAGAAGTTGACATTGGGTGCCTTCTTCCATCTCTATCTTATGTGAAAGGGTTTCTCACCAAACCTGGAGCCCTCTAATTAATCAAGGCTGGCTGTCCAGCAAGCCTCAGGGACCCCCCCCACCTCCACTTACCTAGTTATGGAACTGCAGACAGGCATACACTGCCATGCCTGGCTTTTTACATGAGTTCTAGGGCCTCAAACTCAGGTCTCCACATATTTGCTCAGCAGGCTTTTACTAACTGAGCTATCTCTTCTGTCCTCTGGTATATTCTTGAATTTAATTTAAGTATTTTGTTGAGATTTTTTTGTGTGTGTATGCTCATGAAGAGGATTGGTCTGCAATTTTCTTTTTTTTGTTGTTGTTGTGTCTTTATCTGGTTTAGGTATCATAATTACCTTCATAAAAAGAATTTGGAAGTATTCCTTCCCTTTCTATTTTATGGAATAGTTTGAGAAGGACTGATGTTGGTGCTTCTTAATGGCCTGGTAGAATTAATGCCCTGGTAGAATCTTGCAGTGAAAACATCTGGGCCTGGACTTTTTAGTTGGGAGGGTTTATTATTATTATTATCATTATTATTATTATTACTGCTTCAATTCCATTGCTTGTTATAGATCTGTTTAAATTGTCTCATCTCGGTTTTACTTTGGTAGGTCACATGCATCTAGAAATGAATCTCATTTTTTCAGATTTTCCAATTTGATAAAATATTACTTTTTTTTTTCTTTTTGGTCTTTTTGAGACAGGATTTTCCTGTAGCCCCATCTGGCCTGGAACTCACTATGTAGACCAGGCTGGCCTTGAACTCACAGAGATCCTCCTGTCTCTGCCTCCCAAATGCTGGGATTAAAGGCATGCACCACCACGCCCAGCCAAAAATATTACTTTTTAAAGCTTTGTTCTTATAAGGCTGGGCATGGTGGCCAAGCCTTTAATCCCAGCACTCGGGATGCAGAAATAGGCAGAGCTCAGTGAGATGGGGCCAGCCAGATCTACACAATG